AAAAAAAAAAAAAAAAAAAAAAAAAACGGCAGCTGCTTCGAGATGACATTGCACTGCGTGACTTTTTAAGTAAATCATAAAAAAAAAAAAAAAAAAAAAAAAAAAAAAAAAAAAAAAAACCTCATGGGCGTTCCCTCCACCAAGGGAATGGACAGATCTCGTCTCCCTTACGTGGTACAACTGGTGCGGGTGCGGGGGGGCATATCCCCCAGACAGGTACTCGTATCGCTTCATGACGGGGTTGTAAAAGCAGGGGACCACTTGAGCGCTTTCTCCGCTGTCCGTGTCGTCGCACAGTCTGAGGGGGGCGGTGTGTATATGTGTGCTACGTTAAGCAAAATGAACGGAATACGGGCAACCACTTCGTTCCCACTTCGGCCCCACCTCGGCCTGATTCGTCCCCACCGCAACAACTCACTCTTCCCTGCGGGTGTTCACGTCGAAGGGTAGGTAGACGCAGACCAGGAGGACTCCCCCAAAGGTCACCAAGATGATGACCAGGATGTATATTTCAACGTTCTTGTGAAAGTGAGACACATCATTCCTCTTCCCTTCAGAGTAGCGTCTGTACCGCTCGAGTCTTTCTTCTGCGACGGGGGGAGGGAAACGAAATTGCTCATTAGTGTATAAATGAACAAGTGACAAAAAAAAAGAAGAGGTAAATGTGAAGAAGCCTCAACAAAGTACGCGATACAAAAAATATAAGGCGGCCAAAATGAGGAGAAGCCGTCTCGCGCCATTTCGCCTCTTCCACATTTTAACCTCTGTCCTGTTCAGTTTCGCACACAGACTCATCAGTATAATCTGCCTTGTACAGGTGATCATCATACTGCTCGGTGAAACTGTTGTAGTGCCTATATATGTGCAGGAAGATTTCTTCCTTCTGCTTCCTCCTCTGTTCGTTTTTTTCATTTATGTATGTATCTGGGTGGTACAGTCGGAGGAGCTTGAGGTATTTCTGTAGGGGAGGGGTTGGGAGAGGTAGCGGGGTTGAAGTGGTGGTGGGTCGCCTAAACACGGCTGCACACGTGAGACGCAGCTGTGTACATAGGCTGCTATGTACATGCGCATCCTCCCCTGAGCACCTTCTTAATCTTCAAAGCATCCCGGTGGTCGCCCACGTCCAGTTGGTCCCTCTGCAGCCTCTCCAATAACTTCCGGTCCTCATCATAGTCGACGTAGGGTCTTGTCCCCTTCCCATCCCTGGTGGCTTCTGCATGGAGACCACGACAATACAAATAAAAGAGAGGCTTGCTACTTGAATTGCCACAGCACGTTGAACATTTGACCATCGTCCTCATGTACCTGCAGCATCCCCTGGCCCGTGAAAGCAACATTTTTTTTACGCTGCCTCACGTTTGGCAGGGTGTATTTTTGTGGGCCACACACGGTCGGCCCATTTTGCATCGCGTCGTGTGCCCAACCACAAACGAAAAACGACAAACTGAAACTCCCTAACGAGTATCCATAATTTTATGAACAAGTTTCCTTTTGCGAAATTTAAAAAAAAAAAAAAAAACAACAAGTTCGCATTGGTTAAAAAAACGAAAAAAAAAAAAAAGAGTAAAGAGATAAAGAGATAAAATGTACGGAGCCGCAAAAAAAAAAAAAAAAGAAAATAATGTGCCAGTAGAGGGACAATACAAGAAGAGAGAAAGTCTTCTCTCCTCACTAACACGTGCAAGTGCTTACGACTCATGTCAACCCCGTCGTAATTCCTTCAAAAGTCGACACACAGGATGCGCCCTCCGCGCTACGCATACGTTTTTACGTTATTATTAAAAGAGTATTTTCCCCAGAGAGTGGAGAAAAAAAAAAAAAAAAAAAAAAAATGGTCCCTTGTGTGATGAGCCAAAAGGAGACTTCTCTCTCAGTTAATTAAAGGGAGACTTGGTCGCAACGATTTTTTGCCTCTCCCTAAGAAGGGGAAAATAAAAAAAAAAATAAAAAAAAAAAAAAAGCTATTTCACGTGTGCATCTCATAGGTGCATAGAAAAGCTGCTCTACATTTCCCACACTTACTTTCTCTGTGTTAGGTACTTCTGGTTTCGGTTGGACGTGCCTTCCAGTACTTGGTGGGTTGGTGACATGTACGACAGGGAAGCCGCCTCCGGGCCCGCCACGTGATTTGCCAAGTCGTCCTTTATCTTCGGGGTGGTGGTCTGCGAGGTGGAACACATAATGGGGGGGAGTTGGAGCCAACGATGAACAGGACACATTGAATATTAAGAGAGCGGAAGAAAAGGCGCCCTCCCCTCACTGGTTCACTCCTTTTTTAAAAATACTCACCACACTAGACATGGTGTCCTCCGGGGGGATGAGTTTCATCATGTTTAGCTGCCCATGTACAGGGAACGCGGTATCCCCTGAGTCGGTGTTTTTTTCTGAAATACCCGCATTCAAGCCGATGGAAGTTTTCTTTGTGGGGTCGAGGTCACCGTTGGGGTGCAAGTGACTCTTATTTAGGTCGTGTACGAAGGGGAACATGGGTGCAGGAGGAGGTTGTACAGACGGGGGGGTATTATGTGGTGCAAGTGGTGGGGTGCCATGCTGCCCACTTTGTAACCCATTTTGCGTAACCCCATTATGCAGGCCGTTGAGCCCATCGAGGAGGTGCTCCCGTGACATGTATAGCATTGCAGGGGGAGAACCAGGAGGGTCTACTCCTCGGTGTCTTCCCTGATTCGTCTTCCCGCCATCCTCATTAGTGACCTCGTCTCCGCTTATCTGATTGGAAGGCTTGGACACCTGAGAAAAACTACTTCTACTATTCATGTCTTCTTTATGAAAATCTCCCCCCCCTCCTCCTTGCTTCGAGTATTCCTGGGGGGGTCCCAAGTGGGAGAAATGAGCCCCGCTCACTGCGCTCGGTGCACTCCCCGTGTTCATCCCATGCCCTTCACCAACAAAGTCGTAGTTGGCTGTAGCCTTTTTGTAAGCCAGGAGGTCTCCCTCCTCAAACGCATCATTGTGTTGCTGAAACATGTTATAGGGCATCTTGCTCCCGACGCTGTTTTCTCCATACAAGGAGTCGTCGCCAAAATTATTTTGCATATTGTTCAGGTCGTACACATCGTCCCCCATGTGTCCCCCTGCTCCTGGGGGCAGCGGAGATTCCATGCGACCTCGTAAGGCGCCTCCTACACCGTTCGGTGGGCCCACACGCATGGTGTGTGGGAAGGCCCTTTTTCCTAACCCTACCCCCATGCCCCCTGCTAAACTAACACCAGGTGCACTTCCACCAAACGCACTTCCACCGATCGCACTACCACCGATCGCACTACCACCGATCGCACTACCTCCAATCGCACTACCAGCAATCACGCTACCTCCTATCGCACTACCACCAAACGCGCTACCTCCTATCGCACTACCATCCAAGGCATTCACATCTAGGTCCACATCAAGGTCCATGTCCACATCTAACATTCCCTCGTCTTCTTCCAACTCCTCCTCCTCTCCGGCTCTAAGAGACTTCCCTCCAGTGAACCCACTTATTAACAAATCCGATTTCTGGTTAATGCTCTTCAAAGCCTGAGTTGAAACGTAAGTAAAAATACCCAGGTTATTAATACTAGCTATCATGTCTGTGTAAATCTGTTTATTTTCCTTATTCGTAATGTTGGTTGTTGCTAGTAACGTTTCCGTGTTATACAGGACATCCTGCATAACCCCTTCTTCTGAGTTGGTCATTGTTTTCCTCCTCTCGACCATGTATAAAATTCTTCTTAATAAATTCACCACATATATATCGTTTCCTTTAGTGGAGGCATTATCTTCTTTCCCTTTTTTTTCCCTTTTGTATATATACCTATGGATGAGGTATATCAACAGGTAGAGCAGCAGTGCGACGAGAGTCAGTCCATATGTGTCCTTGTACTTGTGACTGCCCAGTCTGTGTACAGACAGCATGGTCGTTAGGCCTACTTCAATTTGACGTAGCGTCTTGGTCACAATAATATTTTTTAAGGGGATCACAACGTGGGTGAAGCGGTGAATCACCCCTAGCTTAATAATGGCGCATATCTCGGTCAACACTTCGAAGAAGTACTTTATGGATTCAGGTTTGTTTATGAGCATTGCATCTTGCTCGTCCGTCTCTCCCGACGGGGCGTCGTCCCCCACCTGGTAATTATCCTCATTATCACCCTGTCCAGGCTGGGTTACCGCTTTCCTCTTCTTCACATTCTGCTCCTTATACCTTGGGCCCTTTTTCTTGCCTTTCCCCACCACTGCATCTGCCGCCTTCCCCTTCTCACCACCGCGATTGTAATTTGACGTGTGGGCTTCCCCCTCCTTTACCTGTTCCTCCTCCGCCACCTCCTCTTCTTCCCTTTTCATGAATTCCTTTTCAAAGTTTAAGAAGTCACGTGTGCCCTCCTCCCCTTCTTGTGGATCATCCCCCAATGGCGATTGCTCTCCTTTCACAGAGGTACTCTCCTCATCGTTGTCTTCCTCCTCCAAAGACCTTTCGAGTATCATTTCCTTCTTCGCCACTTGATCAAACAGTGCATATCTGTACCTACACTGTTTCGCTTTGTGTTTCCTTCCAATGGGTATGCTACTCCGCCCAAGTGTATAACTCATATCGCTGCTCTTCAGAGAATTCAAAAGTTGGCCAGTCAGTTTCTCCTCATGTGATGTTCCATCTGCTGAGTTACCTGTCTCAGGATTGAAAGACTCCTCCGTTTCATTTACGTGGTCATCAAATGTATCTCCGTTTATGAAGCTTAGTAGGCTTCCGAAGACGCTTCGTCCATTTGAACTGCTACTGCCATCGCTGTTGCTGCTACTGTCGCCGTCGCTGCCACCTTTGTCATTCTCTTCGCGGGGGGGACCCTTTGTAGCAGGGGCTAACGAGTCTTCCCCTTCTTGGCCTCCTCCATGGGTCACACTTTCTAATTTTCCTCCTTCCTTTTTATGTTCACCTCGCTGGTCTTCATCACTATGGTGGTTGCTTCTGTCCTCGGGGGTGGTGTCCACCTGGGTGCCATTATCGTTTTTTCCGGTTGGCTTCTCCTTCTGGGGGTTGCTATGGGGGCTCTTGCTGCTGCTCGTGCGCGACGATGCTGCTATGAGGAGGCTGAACAGAAGGACGCGAATAATTTGCATTTTCCTTTTATCGTTTCATGGCTATAGCTCGGGTTGCCCTTGGTCACGCCGCACGTGCTGATCGGTCAAAAGGTATAATCTTGTGCGAGGGTTCCGGCAGACGGGTAGGTGGCCGACCTAAGTGTCCGGGTTAGTAGTCCTGCACATGTGTACCTCGGGTTATGGACACACGCGGGTTCAACGTTTGAAAAGCGCTGTGATATGATGATTCCCCTTTTACGCAAGTCCGTTAGGGGAAAGAGAGAACACATATAAATGTGTCACATGTACATGCCCTTCTGCCCTTGACCCAAACAGGCGCTCGAAGAACGAAACGAAGTGAATAGTCAACTATACAAAAGAGGAAACGATAGGGAAAATGAAATGGCGTCCGTCACACGCAGAGGGAGAGCGATACGACGCAAAGTTATTCCACCGAAGTGGCACAGCAAACTACTTGAGGCAACAAAAAAAAAAAAAAAAAAAAAAAAAAAAAAAACTTTCAAAAGAGGGGGTTCAAATGATTAGCCTCAAACTGCAAAAAAGTGAGCAGAACGCGTGGCTGTTAATTTCCAACCCGTTCACTTCATCTGTGCCAAAAATGTTTTATTTTCACATGACTTCAGAACATTTAGCTTGCGCAGATTGGCCGATTTTACGCAGGTCCTACGGGAACGAGGCACACGGATAAATGATTGTGTATGCTCGAGCTTCCGGGTAACCAATTGCAGGGTTGGTGGGGACCACAAGATTAGCACAGCGCAGCATAGTACGCAGTTTTTTTTTTTTTTTTTTTTCCGGATATTTGAAGGAGGCGCGATGGGAATAACTAGAGGTTGGTTTTCCCCCTCCCGCCTTTCTGCTATTATTCCGCGCTTGCGATGTGCATTTTTGGCTGTACAAATTCAACTACATTTGCAAAGCACAAATTTTATTTTTTAGTAGTTTTTCCTTCTTCTCTTTTCACCTTCCTCATTTTGCCTTTTTTTTTTTTTTTTTTGTTTCATTTTTCCGAACACCTTGCCTCTGCGTGACTTGTATTTGTCAGCGGCCTAAGCTGAATGAGAAACTGCTTGTAACCCTAAACCTAACTATTCAACATGTACACCAGAAGAAAGGAAAAAAACAATGAGCTCGTTCGGCTAAGCTTTTCTCTTCCTCGTATTTCCCTTGTGTAGTCCCCGCCTCCTTTTCCCTTTGTTTCACCTTTTGGTACTTGCGCCTTCGTTTTCCCTCCTTGGGGACTACATATTCCACGATAGTATTTTCCTCCCCCGGCTGCTGCTACAGTTGCCGTTGTTGTTGCTTTTTTTTTTTTTTTTTTTTTTTTTTTTTTTTT